GTGCTCTCATGTGTTTATGATGTTATTCGTCAGGTAGCGTAAATACGGCACGTAAGCCGACTCGCGGCCTCCCGAGCGCGTGGTTTCGATGAAATGGGGGATATTCAGATTTCTGTTTATTTGCTCTTTTGCTATAAAACACCAAACGCTGAACACTCTGACAAAGTTCAGATTCTCTTCGTTATAATAGTGTAAGTTGTTTGTATATCCTGGTATTTGGAGCTGGAGAATCGCCTTGGAAAGGGAAGTCTCTCGCGGTCGGGATGCGAGGTCGCCCGGTTCAAAATTGACACCCATGCTTTCGAATGCTTTGCAGAAAGATTGGTGATTAAATACCGTCTTTTCATTGGCGGAGAACTATACAGCTTTGAATGTGGTTTCCTGAGGTTATTAATTTTTGGCCTTTTGGCGTTTAGATGGAAAACCTTGAAAAAAAAGGGTCTAAGTTTTCAAAGATCCTTTTTAACACGAAATGTGTAACACATCGGCTAAAAAAGGTACCAATAGAAAAAGCAGTTCTATTCTATTAGAATTGAGTCATCGGCTTGGAATAATTTTGCATGAATCCTGTGAAACTACCGGGGGCACTCAGTTAACTACAGTATTGGGCCGCCTCGCTCGTCACGAGGGCTGGTACGACGTCGGCCGAGACAACGCTCGGTGTTTTTATTGAAATAACCACAGATAATCGTGTTTGAGGTAATAAAACTTCATTTCTATGCTATAGTGATAGTACTCTTTTAATGTAGAGATTTTTGGTGCTCTTGGTATTCTTTTGCTATCTGTCAAACATGGGGTTGCAATCAGTTAACGACTTCCACAATATTTTATTAATGTGTTAAATTAAAACAGCTGCCCTTCTCTTAAACATAGACTGGGAGGTAAAAGTATGGTACCACAATTCTCTGGAGACATAGGCCTTCCATATGAAACATATGAATTTGACATACAGCTACTTTGAAAATTTAGTGTCTGGTACCTAGTATAATGCTAATATTTTCTTGCATTTGACCAGAAGTCCATTCTTGTTAAAATTTTGTTGGGCCCATTAGTTTTTTCTCTGTAAATGAATAGTTTTCTAATCTTGTATGTTACCTTGTAGTGGCATAGTCAAGAAGATAATTGCTAAATTTCAAGACTTTATGTCAATTCTAAGACCCCCATTTCTGTGGAAACATGTTGCTCAACTTCGGAGGCCATTTTCTCCTTTTCGTGTTTCCTCACCTTGCAAAATTAAAAGATCTGTATTTTCGTCAAATATGGTCATATTTACTTCATTCTTGTTTTATATTGTTGGGAAAAGGTGATAGTTTTTTAAAATAAAGTTAACTCAGTTTTGAAATTTCCTTCATAGGAATGATATTGACCGGCGTGGACACAATTGTGCTTAAAACACAAACACAGCATTCCACATACACCGAATAAAACAATGTGCATCCTGGTCTTGCAAAGTTGTTTGTAAAGAAGGCAATGCATACACCGGTACGCATGACCGCACTTAAAATGGGTTAAAAATGAGGACAAATTATAATGCAGATTTGATATTGACACGTTGTGGGCACTCCCTTTCCTGGTGGGGCAACAAGACCTGAACAGTGTCTAGATTTTTGTTCTGTAAAGAAATAAACAGCTCATGCGGTCATGAGACGCGCTTGTTGAAAAGACGGAAATAATCTAAAGCTATGTATGTTTTGTATGTATTGTATGTATTGTATGTATGTATGTATGTACGTATGTATGTGTGTGTGTGTGTGTGTGTG